CACCCCCCCGCGTTGGAATTTCGAAAAATCCTTTCTTAGTGTGCGTTTCCATGACGTACCCTAACTGTGTACCAAATTTCACCTCTTTAGGTTAAGCGGTTTGCTCTGGGCGATGATGAATCAGTGAATGAATGAGTGAGTCAGTCAGGACAAGCAATTTTATATATTTAGATATATATATATATATATATAACTATATTAACTATATTATCTATATATATAATATTATATATATAGAAAATATTAACCCTCTATCCAGGGTTAATATTTTATACAACTCGATATGTTTCAAACCTCTAGCGCGTTCCTCGACCATTCTCGTCCAAATAATAAAGGGAGTAAGAGATTGAAAACTCACATTTTTCCATTTATATTCGTAATACAATGCTCGAGTGAAACGATCGGAAAACGCTTTACACGCCGAATACACGCTCAAAAATGGCAAAGGTATAATGGAGGCTATTGACGAAACAGTAACGATGGCGGCCCTTTTTCTAGCTAACATCGAAGGTAAAAACAATCGCGTCGCGTGAACCACCGCTTTGATGTGTAATTCTAACATTAAATTCACATCCCTGTCGCTTTCGTCTAATATATGACACGGAAAGTCACCCAGAACACCGGCACAATTGACTAAAATGCCAACATCCGTATCCTTCAGTCTGCTGAAAACGTGTTTGTAGGCATTATCGTGGCTGAGATCGACGTGAATGTAGCGACATTCTACTCCGTATTGACTTGTAATTTCTTCGGCGGCAGCCTTCAGAGCCTGCAATTCGTTACTTACGATTACAATGTGTAAACCTCGTTTGGCCAGTTCGTTAGCGTAACCTCTTCCTATTCCCGAACTTCCTCCCGTCACCACGGCCCACGGTCCGAATTCCTTCAAATCCGAAGTGCATAGAGAGAAGAGATGTACCCTTAACACGTTGACAAACTTCCATATTAACATTGAGGCAAAGAGAATTGTAAAGAATATTCCAAAATAAGCCAAAATGCAACTTTGTTCTATGGCTTCTAACATGATTTAATTCTTGTATCTTTCAATATAGCAGAAAGACAAAGCACATTTAGTAATTAATCTGTATTACATAATTTTCTATCGAGTTCATACGTGTATCGAAGATAAAGACTAAATCAAGAACAATTCATTCTTGATTATTATATTTTTATAATCAAAAGTATTTTATCGGATTTTACGATAATGAATATGAAAAGTTTAAAGTTCTCTTTATTAATTTTTCATGTCTTTAAATGAGGTTTTTAATTTACGTTTAGAACATCCAAAATACGGTAAAGGTGATGTTAAAAAGTTTTAAAAATCTTCTTGTAATTAATTTCAATGTTTGTGTGTAGGCTATAAATACAATTCAAAAGTAATTATAATAATGATAAATATATATATATTTTTAATTATAAAATTAAATTCTTTTATAGTGAATAAGTTTTTGGCAGTAAATAAATTAAGTTCTCTCAGATAATGTGATTTAAATATAGAAACAAATTGACACGTTCATTGTTTAATCTTAATAATAAATAATCACACGATATTTTTAATAAAAAAATTTTAAAATTTCATAAAATAATAATAATTTTTTATAAATTAGGGTTTTAAAAGTATCTCTTGACATTATTAAATGTGTTTGCTTTCGATTTTACTCTCACATTGCACTTTATACTTTTTTAAATAAATTATTTATATGTTTAAATTTTTAAAATATTTTTAATACTAATTGGATGATTTTCTATGATATAAACGCTTTCGTATTTCCTATAGTAATTTAAATAAAAAAATAAGTTTTAATTCTTTAAAATTTGCAGCCAACTAGAAGACGAACTTGACGTTACTCGGACAAGAAATAACAGCATCGTCTGAGTTCAGGTGCAAAGCCCTCAGGGCTGCATTGATAGCATCTTGCCATCTTTGCTTCGGAAATTTAACGAAATTTCGAATATAGTTAATGTTGATTTTAATAAATTATCTTATTATTATTATTATGTTGGGTTTATTGTTTATACTCGGTTCACACCGGTGGCTGTCAACGAAGCAGAGTCAACGCAGCTGTTTGACGCAGTTTATTCAACAAAATCTTGGGCCAGGTCATAAGGATGCCTGCTATAGAGTGCCTTTTCAGCCCACGATTGCTTCATGGTGTCCATATTGTTATATGTTGTGTCATGTCTGTATGATGTAAGTGCAAATTTAATGGTGTGTTATTTAATTCTGCTAGAGGGACTGCTTTTGTAACTGTGACGTTTCTTGTTTCTTGTAGAAAAACTCTCGCAGTGACTGTATTTGTTTGTAGTGAAGGTTAACTATGTCAATCAGGCCACGTCCGCCATCTTTACGTTGAAGTGTTAATCTTTCTGTGGCGGATTTAGGATGACGTTGTTTATGCTTAGTAAGTGTTGTTCTTGTTTTCCTTTGGAGTTGCTCGAGGTCTGTGTGAGTCCAATGTATAACGCCAAAAGAGTATGTGAGTACGGGGATGGCATATGTGTTTATAGCTTTAACTGTGTGTTTTGCATTTAACTGTGTTCTGAGGACAGCATTTAACATACTTTGGTATTCTTTAATTAATCTTTGCTTTATTTGTGTATGTTCTGTTAGTTTGGCCTGTTGGAATCCTAAATACTTGTAGAA